ACGGCATCACTTTCAGACTGATGAAGTCGGGCTATATAACATACAAAATAGCTTAAATAGTGATAAGATCAAGACTGTGTAGCATACTATCTAATGTACTGTATATAGTCTAGCGGTCAGGGATATGAAAAATTTTGCAATTTACAGGGGTCTATTCACGAAGCTGCCGAAGGATCTAGCCGTAGCTACGGCCGATCCTTTGGCTAGCTTTGGCCCCAGAACCCCTTCGGTTCAGTAGAACCGTAGGGGTGCTGTACGGGCTATTCACTATAGCCCGTACAGCTCCCGAACGTGGCCGAGTGGCTCAGTCGAGCCGAACGCATATGCATCGGCTCGGCTGAGCCGTGCTGAAAGCCTCTTCCTTTTTTTTTTAATGGCAGCAGAGCCGCCGGACAATAGGAAACTATTGGGCGGAGCTAGCTGTCACTGCTAGCTCCGCACAATCGTTTTCTATTTACTTTTTAAAACTTTTAAAACTATTTTTCTCTTCTGCTCAGTCCCTCTGAGGGACCGAGCAGAACAGCCAAGCCGAATGCCGCTCAGCATAGTGTACAGAGTGTAGCATCTGATGTATTTAATAGAGTGCACTTACTGTACATTGGTGGTCAGTGCTAGGAAAAATATGTCCCAGCGGCAGTGATGGAAGAGGAAAGGCCCTAGCATTATGGCCAGCAAGACATCAAATACCCTATTGGGGTATCCTTCTTCCAACTGACCACCAACACTGAAACATTCTTTCTTTCTGCTGACCACTAATTCTCCAACATTAGTGGTCAGCAAAAAGAAAGTGTTTCAGTGTTGGTGGTCAATTAGAAGAATACCCCAGTATCAGTCAGGAGCAGAGTGCCCCAGTATCACTGACCAGCGATCAGCATATAAGAATGGCTGTTAACCTAAATGCTAAAGACTCATATATCTATGCTATGTATACAGCTCTCTATATAATAATCAAATCATCTTTTTAAATGTATATAAGTAACAAAAAAAGAGTAAAATTCCCTTTGAACAGCTGCATAATCTGCTGTAGCTACACTCCTGGTTAGTCTGCTGTCTGTGCTTGAATTTCTATTTGACTTCCTGGTTGTCTTTAAACTTCCTTGTTTAGGTCTAAACATTTTTAGAAGCGGTGGAAGGTCACAGTCTGGTTATTCCACTTAGCCAAGCCCTGTGAAATATCTGCCAGATAGAACTAGACTAGGGATCATTAGCAGCATTATGGTTTGTCTGGTCAGCCTAAGTCAAATCATGTCATTCAAACTATTTTTCTGGTTCCAGACTTTGCTGTAATAGACATTTTTATAATGCATTCCTTTAGTTAAAAGATACTGTGTGTCATAAGCAATATGTAACTTGATTTGGACAGATTCTAAAGTAAAAGCATGATTTGCCCATGTTAGGGAAAGTGTAAAAAAATAGGTCAAGGCAACTGTAGAAAAATACAGCAAGTCCAGCTACACCATGACCTGGATGAATGAGAACCTTCACAGACATGTTGGGGAAAGCACAAAAAAATGACTGTCAGCTCCTGCGGCGACTTTGTTTTAGCGTCTCTGCTCCCCTAAGTATGACATGCATCTCTTATCTCTTCATCTAGAGATGCATATCATACTTAGTAATTCTGGGCATGGGAGGCCATGTGACTCACCCCAATTCCTCCAACTTGGTGACTGCCTGCGTATAGGCACTCAGTGCTTTCATATGGGACTGGGAAGAAAGCAAAATCATAACTTGGAACTTACACAGGGTTTCTGCTCCTTGCTCCCACGAATGAACTGAGTGACAGGGGAGCAAAAGAAAGGGAAGAAAGGGTGCTGTTTGACAAGGATGTCTGGATTAGAAAACTAGTTTAACCAAATTACATATTTTTTCATATAACATCTCACTTTTTCATATTATAGCTGTAACTTTGGTTGTTAGCATTCACTTCCACTTTAAGCACAGTGTGGGGAATTTATCAAAGCGCTTGCGAGTGTTTGAACTTGCACGTAAAATATTTGCACCAGATTTATCAAGCTAGTGTAATGTTGTTGATAAATGAGGTTTAATAGACTCCAGGAAAGAAGACTTCTAACTTCAGGCAAAAAGCTTAACTGTCGCATCTTGAAGAAGGGGTCATGGGGACTTCTTAAGTTGTGAGGGGGGAATTTATCAAAGCAGTTGCGAGTGTTTGAACTTGCATGGAAAATATTTGCGCCAGATTTATCAAGCTAGTGTAATGTTGTTGATAAATGAGGTTTAACAAATGCAGGTGCAAAACACGTGCAAAAAAGGTGCAAAAAACATGGGGGGGAATTTATCAAAGCAATTGCGAGTGTTTGAACTTGCACGGAATATATTTGCACCAGATTTATCAAGCTAGTTTAATGTTGTTGATAAATGAGGTTTAATGGACTCCAAGAAAGAAGGCTTCGAACTTCAGGCAAAAAGCTTAACTGTCGCATCTTGAAGAAGTGGTCATGGGGACTTCTTAAGTTGTGAGTGTTTTCTTAGGTGATGCTCTAGTTTCAGACAGCCCATAACAAGTGCAGATGAAAACAGGTGCAAAAAAGGTGCAAAAAACATGCAGTTGAAAAAGTAGTGCAGGCTCTAAAGAAATCAGGTGCAAAACAGGTGCAAAAAATATGCAGTTGGAAAAGTAGTGCAGGCTCGGGAAAAAAACGGTGCAAAACATGTGCAGTTCGAAAAGTAGTGCAAGCTCTGAAGAAAACAGGAGCACATGTTAAAAGACAGATTTGCACATTTAAAAAAATGATCTAAGAGGCTAAAACTGTCGCAAGTGCTTTAATAAATTCCCCCTTGAGTGTTTTCTTAGGTGATGCTCCAGTTTCAGACAGCCCAGAACAAGTGCAGATGAAAACACGTGCAAAAAAGGTGCAAAACACATGCAATTGAAAAAGTAGTGCAAGCTCTGAAGAAAACAGGAGCACATGTTAAAAGACAGATTTGCACATAAAAAAAAAATGATCTAAAGGTGCCCACACACCTTGCGATAATCGTACGATAATCGCCGGGAAATCCCGTGATCGTACTATTATGGTAAGGTGTGTGGAAGCCGTGCAATCTCTACTACTGGTACTAAGGTCGCACGACTTTTATCTTACGAACATGTTCGAAAACCCGCCACGAATCGTATGATTTTTGGCGGCTGTGTAGCATGTTACATAGTTATATAGTTACACAGTTATATATATTTTTTTGAGGTTGAATAAAGACATTAGTCCATCAAGTCCAACCTATTTAGTATCTCATTCTTAGGATTACTACTTGTACCCCTGTTTGTAAGATAATAGCTGGACGGGCCTTTGTGCGCAAGCGCACACTGCCCGTTCGGCATTGCGGTCATCGGAAGCCCGCCCCTCAGGGGGGCACGGCTTGCGATCATCGCAAGTACGATCTGCCTGTCCAAGATAGGCAGATCGTACGTTTTTTTAATTACATTACAACCATCGTAAGACAGAAAGTCTTGCAATGGTTGTAAGGTGTGTGCCCAGCCTGAGAGGCTAAAACTGTCGCAAGTGCTTTGATAAATTCCCCCCAATATATTGAACTGATTTCCCTACCAAAGCTGCACCTGCATATACAGAGATGAACTCCTAATCAGGCACTAGACAACAGCAGAGAAAAGTGTGGAGCCTGCAAAGTAAAGTAAAACCGGTCTTTCATTATGCTTGGCTATATACAGTGGGGGGAATTTATCAAGGGAGTTGCTCCACTTTTCTTTAAAGGAGAACTATGAGGTGAGTGCTTTTAACTCACCTCATAGTTCTAGCTGACCTGTGACAATGAGACTGTCACAGGTCGGCTCAGTAGATCAGGAAGTGAGTGAACACATACCGGCGTTCGCTCACCTCTCGATCCTGTCACGGCTCTCTGCCGTGACAGGGGAGGGGCTGGAGTCCCCCCTCCCCCGCTCCGATCCGCCAGCGCTGACTGGCGGAACGGACGGGGGAGGGGACGGGTACAGCTGGCTCTGCCTTTAGATAGGCAGGGCAACTGTCAGTCACGCAGCTGGGCGGATCCAGACATAATTGTCGGGATCTGCTTCAGCTGCGGCGTCTTAGTATACCGCGAGCAGCAGCTCGCGGTATACTGAGCCTAGGGTGACGGGAGGACACTAGTTTGTGATTGTGTCCTCCCGTTACCCTAAGGAGAACTATGGGGAAAAGCCTTAACCCCACAGTTCTCCTTTAAGTGACAAATGTTCCACGTTATTTGCACCTTATTTATCAATGCAGTCTAAGCCTTGATAATAAATGTCATTTCCATTAGACATGTTGGGGGGAATTTATCATAACAATTGCGAGTGTTTGAACTTGCACGGAATATATTTGCACCAGATTTATCAAGCTAGTGTAATGTTGTTGATAAATGAGGTTTAATAGACTCCAGGAAAAAATACTTCTAACTTCAGGCAAAAAGCTTAACTGTCACATCTTGAAGAAGTGGTCACGGGGACTTCTTAAGTTGTGACTGTTTTCTTAGGTGATGCTCCAGTTTCATACAGCCCCGGAACAAGTGCAGATGAAAACACGTGCAAAAAACGTGCAGTTGAAAAAGTAGTGCAACTCTGAAGAAAACAGGTGCAAAACACGTGCAATTGAAAATGTATTGCAAGCTCTGAAGAAAACAGGTGCAAAACACGATGGAAAAGTAGTGCAAGCTTTGGGAGAAACACGTGCAGTTGGAAAAGTAGTGTAAGCTCATGTGAAAACAGGGGCACATGTTAAAAGACAGATTTGCACATAAAAAAAATGATCTAAGAGGCTAAAACTGTTGTAATTGCTTTGATAAATTCCCCCCAGTATATATATAATATATACACATGAACTGTACATAACATTTTAGGTTTTATTATTCTAGTTGTTTTAGGATACACTAAACAGAACAGAATACACTAGGATACACTAACAGAAAATCATTCCCAGCAGTAGTTCTGCATTGCTTTTAATTGTTACCTTCTGTACCGGTCAAAATATAAGAAAATTCCTATGTTGTCATACCTGAAGCTGAATCCTTTGATACATCTCATTCAGATAGCTGAGACCCAGTAATATTGAACTGGCTACCAGCAGCAAAAGGAGTAAATGACCAGATCTCAGGGTGTTGTCAGTCCCCAACATTGCAATTTCACGAGCAGGTGTTCTGAATGCGGGAAGTGAGAACAGAATTGGTTGAGCATAAGGATACATACTTTTATTGCCATCATTATAATATTACTGACAGACTGTTGATACTATTATAGGAATGCTTAGCGTACATCAATTTAAAGTGACACTAAACTCAGGAGTTTCATTCAAGTGCCTTAAAGGAGAACTATGAGGTGAGTGCTTTTCACTCTCCTCATAGTTCTAGCCGACCTGTGACAATGAGACTGTCACAGGTCGGCTCAGTAGATCGGGAGGTGAACGAACACATACCGGCGTTCGTTTCACCTCTCGATCCTGTCACGGCTCTCTGCCGTGACAGGGGAGGGGCTGGATTCCCTCCTCCCCGCTCCAATCCGCCAGCGCTGACTGGGGGAAACGGACGGGTACAGCTGGCTCTGCCTCTAGATAGGCAGAGCCAGCTGTCAGTCACGCAGCTGGGCGGATCCCAGCATAATTGTCGGGATCTGCTTCAGCTCCGGCGTTTCAGTATACCGCGAGCAGCAGCTCGCGGTATGCTGCGCCGTCTCAGTATACCGCGAGCTACAGCTTGCGGTATACTGAGCCTAGGGTGACGGGAGATTGCAGAAATCCTTATAGGATCAAAGTTCATAGATTTTATTGCAAACTTATGTGATTTCGGGGCCACACAGGGTCCCTTAATCAGGCACCCCTCCCCGATCACGGGGTCATACCGGTAAGGAGTGCAACTAGCCTTTTCTTTTTTCTAGGGTGACGGGAGGACGCTAGTTTGTGTCCTCCCATTACCCTAAGGAGAACTATGGGGAAAAGCCTTAACCCCATAGTTCTCCTTTAACTATTAAGAAAAATGTATCTTATTTGTGTATCACTCAGCTGTAGATCCTCAATACATCTCTGAAAAGGACACTGTCCTTCCTTCTGGAGGGTGGCTACTTCTGTTCCCCATGGTCCCTGTGTGTGTTGTAAAGTAGCCACAGCCCCAAGCTCACTCCTGTAATAGACTACAATCTCAATTACAAATTAGTAAACTAAACATGAGATTGTAGTCACGGGAGTGAGCTTCCAGAAGGAGTGAGCTTCCAGAAGGAAGGACAGTGTCAGCACCAATTCAGAAATTATTTGAGGATCTACAGCTGAGTTATAAACAAAAAAGCTACAGTTTTGCTAATAGTTAAAGGATAACTATGAGATAAGTGTTTTACACCCATCCTCATAGTTAGAGCCGACGTGTGACAATAAAACGGTGACAAGTCGGCTCTATTGATTGGAAAGTGAGCAAACACATAACGCCGCTCGCTCACTTCCCGATCATTTCTCTAAAGAGAGCGGTGCCTGTCAGCCACCGCTCCCCGCAAGGATCCCCCCTCCCCTCTCTGACCCTCCAGTGCTGACTGGAGGAACGGACGGAGGTGGGGGTGGGCACAGCCGGCTCTGGCTCTAGATAGGCAGAGCCCGCTGTCAATCAGCCAGTTGGGTGGATCTTGACAGTATTGTTGGGATCCGTCCTGGCTGCAGCGCTCTCAGTATATAGAGCGGGCAATAGCTTGCTATATACTGAGCTTTGGGTCACGGATGGAGGTTAGTATATGTCCTCCCGTGACCCTAAAGAGAACTATGGGATAAAATGGTTACCCCATAGTTCTCTTTTAAGATACTTGAATGCATTTTTAACATGTAACTCCTGAGCGTAGTGTCACTTTAAGGGAGATGTACAGTACAAACTACAGCAATAGTGGTTAAAGAACTATGCTTTAAAGGAAAATAAATAGTGATGCCATTTTTGTTAATTATTTACAGCATACATATCTGCTCTGTGTTATCACTGTTTCAATACACTTATAATAATCCCCATAAGATGTTTTTACTACTATGTCACAGAATATGAACCACTGATGCAGGTGTACTAAAGTGCAATGTCTTATGACCCCCACTTTATTTGCCAGTCTCCCTGTACTGCTCCACCTGGGTATCCAGGAGGGATAGCTAAAAAAAAACATCCAAGTCTGCATAATGATGTTTAGTAGGAGAACATTTAAAATCAGTAATGAGTAGCATTGCATATGCTAATGTGTGCATCATTGTGTTATTCACTTCACTGGTTCCAGTGCTGAGAGTTGCACGCTGTCCTGCCTGCATCACCTTTTTCATACAATGTGACGGTTCTAAGAGAACATGTTATGTTATCTACTCTGACATTTTCAATCCAATTAATAATTCAGCAGATAGGAATTTACCAAAGCACTCTAGATCAGGGGTGCCCATTAGGTAGATCGTGATCTACCAGTAGCTCTCAAAGATGATGCTGGTAGATCACAAAGGGTGTGAATGGTGGCCCCTTTATTCCATTTTGGTATATTTATTTAGCTGTGCACACATGATTACCTATCAGCCTGAGTCTGCTAAGCCAAGCTCCCTGACACTTTTCTGGTGGTTGAAGTGCTATGTTTTACATTAAAGAATATTAGTTTACACCGCCTGTTGCACTACACTGTTTGCAAAATACAGCAAGGTGAGCCAGGAGAGAGAGAGAGACAGCCAGGAGAGAGAGCAAGGAGAGACAGCCAGGAAAGACAGCCAGGAGGATGAGCAAGGAGAGACAGCCAGGAGAGAGAGCAAGGAGAGACAGCCAGAAGGATGAGCAAGGAGAGACAGCCAGGAGAGAGAGCAAGGAGAGACAGCCAGGATGATGAGCAAGGAGAGACAGCCAGGAGAGAGAGCTAGGAGAGAGCGAGGGAGGTTTTTTTTCTGTTGGTAGATCTCATGTAGCTCGTCATTTGAAAAGTAGATCTTAACACAAAGAAATGTGGACACCCCTGCTCTAGATGAATCTGAGAGTTGTGAGAGAAGAAAGGAAAGTGTAGGGTAATGTGGAGTAAAGTTTGATTAGCGACCATAATAGATCCAATAGGAATATCATACGTGTTGAGTAAAACAATTGTTTTAAGATATACTGTACCTAAAATAGTTACTACAGTTACTACATCTAAGAACCTATGACTTAGTATTTGGGTATCATACATAGCAGGAGCTACCTAGAAATCACTGGACCTCCTAGCAAATTTGTTTATGGGCCCCCTCCCCAAACAAACCCCCCCAAAAAAGCACAATTGTAAAACACCCAATAACATTGCCTTCCTGCTACGCTTATATTTTCTGTATACAGTTGCTAATAAATCTCAAAGAAAATCCTTTTTTACATCTTGTTCCAAGTGGTCACGTGGCTGCAAAGCTTCGGCAAGTGTGTCTGTCTATGAAGGGCCTACAACGCAGCTAAATTCTTAGAGCAGTGACATCACTCCACCAACATCTATAGCTCTAAGAGTCTTAGGCATTGTTGGCCCTGTAAAAGTTACTGCCTACCAGCCCCGCAGACACACCCACCGCATTAAGGTCACATAACTGCTTGCAAAAACATTCAAAAGGTATTCCCACTAAAATTTGTTATAAGCTGTATGCTGCAAATGAGTAGACATCGTTGCAGTGGCAGTGGGGAGACAGCAATTATGGGTGCGTTCACACCAGCAAGCCACACTAGCTGCTGGTGTGACCTAACAGTGCTGATGCATCAATCCTGACATATCACACTTAACTTTTTGTTAGAACTTTGTTGAAATGTCACAACTAACATTTCATTAAGTTCTTTCGGCACAGTGTGGTGCTATGTGATTGTACCGTATTGCACCATGCTTTACTGAAAAAGCATGCAATAAATTTTTTCAGAGCACACCACCACAGAGTAGTTCATTTAAAAGAGGCACATTTCATTGTCTATGCACTGAGGTGGCACTGAAAATGACTTGGCCCCAAAACAACTGATGTAACCAGTTCACACTTGCTGTGCATGTTAACTTGTGCATTGGTGTGCATTCACACAATGCAGGAAAAGTGCATGACATGCTTGTGATGCCATTATTTGTTAATTGCACCCCAAATGCGGCAGACAAAACATGCACCTTTGCAGAGCCGTAGCTTGCTTCTTTTGCACCTGAGGCAAGAACAGAAAATTGTGCCCCCCAGCAGACGTGTGCGGTATGTGACGTCCTGCGCCCCGCCTCCAGGATGGCGGTGCGCACGCGCAGAATGCGCTGCTGGCCAAATTCAAAATAGCATAAGAATTTGTTTCGTTAGGGGTCTAAAAATGACCCCTGACATTTCACTTTTGAAATAGAAAAAGAGATTGAGGACACAGAGTCCTCTGCCCGTACAGGTGGGGGAGAACAGCGGGAATCCGAGGAGAAGCTGGAGCCTGTCTCGCTGCTTTTCTCCCTGCCGAGCCTCCTGGCGCCCCTGTTGCCAATGGCGCCCTGTGCTTGCCTTAGCAACAAGGTCGAGGGGGCTCAGCCAGGCCGGACCTGGCTGCGCCCCCTCTCAACTGCGCCTGAGGTGAGTGCCTCAATCGCCCCATGATAGCTACAGCCCTGCACCTTTGCCTGGGCATTGACACTTGACAAAACATGCAAAAATGTGTTGCCAAAAACTGCATAAAGCTCACAGCTCAAAGTGCTGCATTCTTCTTTGCTGTGTTTGACACTTCTGGGGCAGCCCATTATAATGAATGGGCTGACTCTGTACTACACTGAGGAGGAAGGAGAGGATGAGATCACTCTGCAGTACACTCACACTGAGGAGAAGGGAGGGGAGCAGATCACTCCACAGTACATGGAGGAGGAGGGAGGGGAGGAGATCACGCCGCAGTATATGGAGAAAGGGGGGCTGCAAGAGATCACTCTGCAGTACATTGAGGAGAAGGGAGGGTAGGAGATCACTCCATACTGCACTGAGGAGAAGGGAGGGGAAGAGATCACTAAATACTACACTGAGGAGGTGGGAGGGGAGGAGATGGCAGTACATGGATGAGGAGGGAGGAGAGGAGATCACTCCATACTAAACTGAGGAGAAGGGAGGGGAGCAGATCACTCCACAGTACATGGAGGAGGAGGGAGGGGACCAGATCACTTCACAGTATATGGAGGAGGAGGGAAGGGAGGAGATTACTCCACAGTACATTGAGGAGAAGGGAGGGGAGGAGATCACACCATACTACACTGAGGAGGTGGGAGGGGAGGAGATCGCTGTGCAATATATGGAGGAGGAGAGAGCGGAGAAGATCACTCCGCAGTACATGGAGGAGGAGGGAGGAGAGGAGATCACTCCGTACTACACTGAGGAGGAGGGAGGGGAGGAGATCACACTGCAGTACATGGAGGAGGAAGGGGAGGAGATAACTCCACACTACAATGAGGAGAAGGGAGGGGACAAGATCACTCAGCAGTACACTGAGGAGGAGGGGGGGGGGAGATCACTCTGCAGTCCACTGAGGAGGGGGGCGG